TTTGATCGTGATAAAAGGTCACCTTCCTAGGACCGCCTCCTGTTTAATAATTCATGAGATGACGTCATATTTACTGGGCATTGACACGTGTTTTTACCGACCCCATCAAAACACTGGTATGAATGACGTGTTTCTGATTTATATATTCAAGAGCAGTTGTTCTGGTCCAACGATTTTACATAAAATGTCTATGTCTATACGTTAACTTTCAATTTCAATAGTCTAGAAAGTATGACAAAGTATGACAAAGCAGTAATTCCCGGTTTAACACCCAAATATGCAAATTAGCCTTTTTCTGATCTTCTATTTTTGGTGAATTTTTGGGTTTTAAATTAAAATAGCTGATAGACGCTTTGGCCATTTGCCTCGAAAATTTCACACATTATTGACAAGGTGTCCCCCCTTCAAAATGCGTCCAGACAGTTTATTACGGCATATATATAAATTATGCAAAAATAGAAAAGAGTGAACTTTGAGGTCATGCTGTGCGACTTTGAAAGCCGTTAGAGAGATGAGTGGACGCATTTGAATTAGTAGTATACCAAAGTATCCAGTGATGTAATTTTACCCACAAACGGACTTGAAGTTTTTAAGCTAATTTTTTTTAAACCACTTTTGTCCAAAAAAGCATATTTTTGACCCAAAATCAAAAACGCATTCTGGATATTTAAAATAAAGACAAGTTTTACAAAGTTTGTATAATAAGCTTTCAGAAAATATATAACATGTTGGATATATAATACCATCTTCATTGTCTAATTACTCAATTAAAAAGCAAGCCGAATAAACTGCATCTCTACCTTAAATTAGTGAAATCGTAACGAATGGAAAAATGAATATTAATTAGCTCATGAATATTAATTAGCGACTGGCACTCAAATCAGGCTGGGCAGAAACCTGCAAGCCCTATGGTGAGACTTACTACAGTGTACTATAAAACTGTTGAAAAGCAGCTTCTGAAAGTTATTGAACTCGAAAAACAATTACATTGTATTCTTTTGCAGGCAGATCTGCAATGGCTGATACCAAAGACAAGGAGGGAGATGAGGACAAGCAGTATGGTGGATGTGAAGGCCCTGATGCTATGTATGTGAAGTTAGTATCCTCAGATGGACAGGAGTTCATTGTTAAAAGAGACCATGCTCTGACATCAGGAACTATAAAAGCTATGTTAAGTGGACCCGGTAAGAACCACACACCACGATGACAAATTCACCCTCCTGACGTCACAAATCACCCTTGTATGCTAATTAGGTTCTCTAGCTGGAGCCTCGTTCTGAGTCTGCCAAGAAATTGGACGTGGGGGTTTCCTTATCCAGAACATTATTATTGATCGTTTATTTAATTTATGTACATTTTTCACTTTCATAATGTTGTTTATAAATAAATTTTGCACACAAAAAAAAAGTCAATTGGCCCAATTCAGTTACACCTTAAGTATTCTGTGGAAACATCAAAATTCACATTTTGTGTTGTCCCATGTTTGTTGTACTTTTCAGAGAGCTACATATACTCGGGCAGTGTAAAAAAGCTCAAACTTTGTTCTTAGTTTTGATTTTAATGACAAACTGCGAAGTATAACAATTACCAATGATGCATTCAAGTTAACAAGTAGTGGTTTCCAATATGACCTTATGACTATGGTGATAATATAATGTTCAACTGCTAGGTGGTGATACGCATGCTTCCTCCTATTATTCACAGTGTAGTTTAATCCATTAGCCTACGCACTGTGTAATTTTTTAATTAATAGCTTGCGACAAAGTGTAGTTTGTCCATGCAACTGAGCCTGGCCCAACCTAGTACCTGAAGCCAGTAGTCAGTTCCCTAAAAATTATGAATTTTTGAATAACAGTTGTTATACGTGTGTATTATTACATTTGAATCATCAGTGCCTAATTAGTCCCCGTTCGGACCAAGTCCGAAAACGGGGACTTATAATTCGGTCTCCGTGTGTCCGTCCGTGCGTCCGTCCAGAGTCATATCTCAGAATCCCTTGGACCGATTCTGTTCATTCTTTGCATGTGCCTAGTACTTTATGTGGGACATATGCACATGCAGTGGTTTAGC